AACATTTAATTCAAAATTAACAAATGATTGATTATGGAATTCAGACATAAAAAGCTTAAAAGTCTACAAATGATGGCTGAATGCAAAACTTACAATAATAAAATACACATTACTTAAACATGTAAACTGTCCAATATAATTACCAGAAGGTTGGCGTGCTCAGCAAGACGACTACGGTATTGAGAGTCATTGAAATTTCTGCTTTGTACAGCTCTTTCCGTAGCCTCTATACATATGTGCAGTTCTTCAAAGTATCGACGCACAACACTACTCTTAACTAACACTATTAAAGAAAATGAACATAAGAAATGTATGTATTTCATCTTCTTGTCTTTATTCTTTGTTTTCTGTGGGGAAAAACTCCTAAACTTCAGCAGAGAAGAACCGATTTTTTTGTGAGCTTGAGAGTGAGAGACGTACTGTAAATATGAGATCATCAGATCTATAATGAAATAGGCCATCCGTCTGTCTGTCATATTATTAATACCACTACATTTAATAATATTTATAAATATTGTTTTATTAATAACAATAATAATTATCATATTTTATTTCGATCCTTATTTCATTTGTATTTAATTGAGTTAAAATGGTTTCTTATTTGTTAGTGGGCTGTAAACTTATGCATTTATGCATTTTTTTATGCAATTGATATATTAATAGATCAAGAGCCTTTACTAACTTTTGGAATTTATACCATGACAACACAGTCTCATGAAGATGCGTATCTATACCACGAATGTCATTTCTCGTGGCATTTATACGCCAACAGTTTTTTTTTCGTGTATATGGTACGCACTAAAAAACCCTGGGTTAGGTTTAGGGGGGAGGGGGGTGGGGAGTTCGTGCGTATTATACGCAAAAAAGTGCGTATCATATGTACGTGAAAATCGCGTGCCATATACACGCAAAAACTGTTTTTGGCGTATAAATGCCACGAGAAATGACATTCGTGCCATAGATACGAACTTTCATGAGATCGGGCTGTGAAATAAAAATAATGATTCTCTTGTCTTTGTTTCAGGCCCCGTCCACACTACTGCGTTTTCGTTTAAAAACGGAGACCTTTTGCTACGTTTGCACCTCCCGTCCACACTAAAACGGGAAAAACGAAGACCTAAAACGGAGAAGTTTAGAAACGCTGCAGCTGCGTTTTGCATTTTGAAACTCCGGAGGGCGTTTTAGTGTGGACGAGACAAAACGGAGGAGTTTACAAACTGGGTGTCAACCCCAAAGACTCTTTTAAGAGCCCTAGCACATAGCTTTGTCTTTGTAAGTATATGTTTTGAATGCCTACCAGTTACATTCTTAATGTTTAAAAGTTATAAGTCAGATGTTGGCCTGGAGAATAGATTTCATGATTCAATTTGATTCACAAGCTCGTGCAGTTTATGATCTCTTTTTCGATTCATGATAGCAATGCATTTACCCAAACCAACCCAATGATTATCTTTTTTATTTATTTATTAGATTACATCGTTCTCAAGTGCCTCCTCCATTGAGTTTATTTTCTTACCATCTTTTATTTCAAGGTAAGTAATATTCTTTAGCTTCACTTCAAACTTTATTTACTTTTATTTGTTTTATGTAGTCATCAAGACATTTATGTAATCTAAGACTTAATTAACTTCATGTGTTTTTAATGCTCAGTAATCAAAATAATTAAATCAAGTCAGATTTGTTAGAAAAACAGAAACACATTGAGTCAGACATTACACTAAAATATTTACAGGCTTAACAATGAGTGAGGACAAAATAGAACGTTCGAGGCAACACCTAAGATCCTGGAGAGCAACTAAACGTGTTCTTCAAAAGATATCTACACAAAATCACACCACTGAATTGGACTGTCTGGAAGAGTCCGAAACAGTTACAGAAGGTCAATGGGATGCAGGTGATACCTTAGGTTCCACGGAGAACACAATGAACCTTTCATCTCCAATGTCCTCTGAAGCATCCTGGCCTTCAGAAGAAACTGACTGGGAGGATGACTTGGAGGAAGTCATGGACACAGCAGAAAAAAAGGATGGTACATCTGACCAGGAAGACAGCATGGCAAGCTTATCCCTGGCAACAGAACTGGCATCCTGGGCTTCTCAGTTCGAAGTAAAAAACAATGCTGTTGACCATCTGTTGAAAATTCTTCATAAACATGGCCACACTAATCTTCCATCATCTGCTCGTACTCTGCTCAAAACACCTAGGAAAATAACCACAATGCAGAAATGTGGCATGGAGTATTTGCATTACCCACTGCGTCAACAGTTGCTGGACAAACTGGATAAGTACCCTGTTGAAGAGATCCTGGACCATGACACAATTAATCTGTCATTCAACGTTGACGGCCTGCCATTGTTCAAGAGCTCAAGTAAAGTTATGTGGCCTGTGCTTTGTGCTATTCATCTTAAGCCCATCATCGTTTTCCCAGCAACGTTAACATGCGGAAACAAGAAACCCACCGATCTGACTTTCCTAGATGATGTTATTGCAGACCTCAATGATCTTATGTCTCATGGTCTTCAGTATAAGGAGAGACATTTCTCTACTAATGTCCTCTGCATTGTGTGTGATGCTCCAGCAAAAGCCTTTACACGAGGCACAAAGCTGTGCTCTGGGTACTATGGATGTGATAAATGTGACCAGAATGGTGAATGGTTTAATAAAGTAACATTTCCAGCCACAGAAAACCTCACCTTGCGCACAGATGATTTATTCAGGAGCCAAGTTCAGCCTGAGCATCACAATGTCAATACTCCACTCATCCAGCTGCCCATAGATATGATCAAAAGCTTCCCAATCGACTACATGCATCAGGCATGCTTGGGGGTGATGAAGAGGCTTCTTGTCAGTTGGACCCATGGAGAAAGAAGAGTCAGGCTCTCCACCACCCAAAAACAAGTAGTCAGAGCTATAAGTTGTTTCAGCTTAGTAGTCAAATTCCTTCCATTTTTGCCCGCACCCCTCGAGGCCTCGATGAGCTGGAGAGATGGAAGGCAACAGAATACCGTCAATTCATGCTGTACACAGGCAAGCTTGTGTTGAAGGGAATTCTTGGGCATGACATGTACCTACATTTCTTGGCATTCAGTGTGGCAATGTGCATTTTAGTTTCCCCAACACTGGTCAAAAAGCACTCAGAATATGCTAGATGCTTGCTCAGGTACTTTGTCAGCAGAGGACGAGAGCTCTATGGAAATGAGTTCATAGTGTACAACGTCCACTCAATGCTCCACATCACTGATGATGCTATACAATTGAATGGTCTGGACAACTGCAGTGCTTTTAAATTCGAAACACACCTCCATACAATCAAGAAGATGGTACGAAGCGGAACACACCCTCTTAGCCAGATTGCCAACAGGATTGAGGAAAGACGTGACTCCACAATTAAAAACAACAAAGACAGACAAACAAAGAAGAGCAAGGATAGAGCATTCATCCTAGACAATGACAATGGCTGCGAGATCACCAACGATGATGAGAAAGATGGAAATGTTCTTTGCAGAATTTATCATAGTCCTGCCCCATTGTTCACTGAACCCTGCCACTCATTTCTTCTGGGCGCGTACAACTTCAGTAAAAAACAAACGACAATGAGGTGGATATCCAAAAATCTAATTGAAAAGAGAGCAATCAAGATTGAAAATGGAGACACAGTGACATTCATGGCCATCTTACACCAGCAGTGAATCTTGTATGGACAAACAATGTAAGAGAACTTTAATGTGCATATTCTTTAAGATGTGATAAGCAAAATGTTTTGGCAAATTACGGACCTTCCTCATCCCTTCCTTAGTATGTATGTGATCGTTGACTGTTGGCATTGTAGCCCAGTGCTGGACACACAGAGAAAATGGGGTAAAAGAACATTTCTCATAACCTTTCACATCAACAATATAATCTTTATAAAAAAAATATAAAAATTAAGACATGTATATAAATATTTTAACAATGTTTCTGACTTCACTGGACGCATGCTAGCAACTATACAGCTACTGGCCACCTACAAACCCCACTAAAAGGGCAAAAAAAGAAGACATTCCTGATGAAAAAAATTGTATTTCCAGGAAAATACGAGTATTGCCAAATACCGGTAATGTTTAATTTGAGGATACTTTAATTATGTGATCGTACATTAAGATTATATTTTAATTGTTTTACCATTGGCTTTATATTTTCAGACAATTTTGCAAAGGCCCTCAAGTGGTGCAAAGCAGCAGAATATCATTCTGCTGTGGAGAGTGATGTTGACACCTACACTAAAAGGCCACAAAGAAAACCTGCTCGGTATGATGACAGCAGCGATGGTATGCATTACGTTCAGTCTTGAGTAGTCCATATTCATGACTCCGAATTGACTCCCCCCCACAAGATCCTTATTAATCCTTATTTATCCCACAGGATAAATTACTGCTGCCATTATCTATAGAGAAACTTCCTTTTAATAATTTTCACGATAAATGTATTGTTTTAAATTATGTAAGAATAATTTGTCAGATATATAAATGTTGTACTTGTACAGAAAAGAATGACAATGACTTGATTTAAATACTCAGATTGCAACTGCTTAAAACCTTCTACTGGTGCCTACTAAGACAGGTTTTTTTGTACTAAAATATCACAGACAAAAGTGGAACATCCGTTTAGTGGATTCGTCTCGATGTGATGCTTTTCAAGGTTCAAATTGACAACTGTGTTTTTATCATGCTTGCAGATCTTGATGAATCACCCAATTCTAATTCTGTGTCTGTGGCAGAATATATTACTGAAGGTAAATTTGAATTTGTTTTCAACATCTGTAAACTTTATTTGAATTGATTTTAGATTGAATTGAAAGTAACTGATGTTAGAAGTTAGATGAGGCAATGATAATAAAATTGCGTATGCAACAAAATAAGATTGTTAAATAGGTCATATCATGAGGAATCAAATTGTCCATAAAAGATAACTTTTCCCACACAGGATTATTCATAGTGAGTGCTTGTTGTATAACATTACATAACTTTTTTAGAGGAGAGACAAACATCTGCAAGGGCTGACCACACGAAGACCCAACCATGCAATGACCCAACGAAGAGTGAGCTTAAAGGTACATTTTATTAGTGCTGCCGCGATTAGTCTACGTAATCGACCATGCAAATTAGTCGATGGCATTTTTTTTAGTCAATGTATCTTTAGAGAAACTTCCTTTTAATAATTTTCACGATAAATATATGTAACGAATTACACAATGATAATATACATAAAATGTATTTAAGGGGGGCCGGTAGGCCAATTTAGCTAAAAAGGAATGATTCCTTGATTTACAATGAATCATGGGAAAAAAATGTACTCTGCAGAGTCGTTACAAACAGACGTTATTTTAATAGGCCCTAGCCTACCCAGATAGCAAACTGACATTGAATCAACGTGGAAATATGACATAGAAACAACGTTGATCTGACATTGTTTTGCTCATCGAATTAACGTTGAACCAACGTCAGACGCGTCATTCTTTCAAAACTAACGGAAAATCAACTTGAAATCAACGTTGTTTCAACGTTATGAAAGCAAACCAATTTTCGATTTTCATTTTGCTTTGAAGAATGCGTCTGACGATGGTTCAACGTTAAATCGATGAGCAAAATCAACGTTGTTTCGATGTCATGAGAGATGTCGTTTCCACGTTGATTCAATGTCAGTTTGCTGTCTGGGGTGTTAAAGGCGGATAATAACCAATCAGCAATCGCTCCTTTGAAATCATTTCGGATTTGTTTTTCTGTTGCTGCGGGGTCAAGGCAGAGTTAGCTATCAGACAAAATTCTACAAATTAATGGTGAATTTCATGTAGACGTTATCATATAGGCTACCCTAAGGAACCATATAAGAGCTTGCAGTGAAGCAACTTTTTTGCCCATCAAAGACATCATTTCGCCCTTTGGAGCAAAAGGCCAGTTTATAAATTGCATTATTTGCAAAAATAGCTAATGTGACGTACAGTTTAAAGGTATAGCGGAGGATTTTCTTTTTTCCGGGTGGGTAGTCTATACTATTGGTCCACCTAAGTGTCAATCATTCTGGTGATATGTTTACGTAAGGCCGTCGTAGGCTACGTGCTCATCCCTATGTAGTTTTCACTTTCAGGTGTATTATGTCGGAGTTACGGTTTCAGCCATTCCTTTGAAAATGGCTGAGGGTCGAAAGAGAAAACATGTTTATGAAGTGTATGATAAGAAGAGAAAGGCCGCAGAATATAGAAACAAGACCAGAGTGATTTTGGGTGAATATCACACGCTGGCGTGCGCTAAAAGCACAGGTTGGGCTTCTCACTGATGCCGCAGTCGCGAAGATTCTACCAGACAGGTAAAGTTTGTCACGCTATTTGGAGAAATCCATTTAAAATCACTAGTAAAAGTTAATGCAAGCTACAATGCTAGCCCTGGCACGAGTCATGCACCGCATAGACACGGTAAACATCTCAATTTGTCTAAAGTAGCCTTTTGACCAAAATGGTAAATGGTATCACGCTGAAATATTCTAAAACCTTGTGTGTTTATTATTACACAAATGCAACAAGCTACTTCTCCATATGCAACTATGTATAAAAATAACGTATTAACAATGAGAGATATTAGGTTAAGGACCAACGTAATAGCACTGCTTATATGTTGCTATGTAATGTAATTGCGATTTGCAAAATAGTTTCCTCAGAACGTATTTCATGTAATACAGGGTTGGACATATCATGTCTTGAGTCCTCGGTCACTCAATCGATCAGTATAATAAGTAAATAAAACACGGAAGGGCATTTGACATGTTGTCTTTTTTATGAATATTTTTGAGTTAGTTTAGAATTTGCAACATAATTGTGCAAGGCGTAATAGACGTTCCCTCTCGGGAGCAAGAGTGTTGTATTTGTGCATGTGCATTTTTTTTAAAAATTGGAGAGGGCGGGTCTTCTCTAAAATTCGGAAAGATCCTCCGCTATACCTTTAAGTAGCCTATCATATATCCCTTGTTTTTTTGTTTTGTTTTTTTTTCCTAATACAATTCTTATTTACAGGTTACAATGAAAATGACAAACCTGTTTTGTTGTTGTGCCGTTTCTTTAGGATCGACTGCCAGTAGGCCTACCTGCAGAATTGGAGTAGTTCGCTTGTTCTACATTCCTGTTTGTAAATCTTGAAATTGCAATTAAAAAAAGCTTGTTCTACATTCCTCTACATTCCCCTTCTTTGTTCAAACAAATTAAATGTGTCATAATTCATTAAAATGTTAATATGTACTGTTGTTTTTTGAAATAAATTAGCTGAGTGTGCCTAATTTTTAGTATGCATTCATTATTCAGCAGATTTAAATTGTCTTTAAATGAGGTGTGGGCAAATGAGGACATCAACTGTCCGCCTTGAAAATAACATATTTAGTACCAGCATAGAACGTTGTCACAACGTCGTGCTTACTAACTGGTAAAGTCGCAACGTGACGTTGTCACAACGTTGTGCTTACTAACAGGTAACGTCAGAAAGTTACGTTGTAACAACATATCTGGGAATTTTACTTTTCTGGTTGCCACTACGTAACTAATTACGTCGCCACGACGAAAGTTTGGTCACCAGATTATGTTGCAGTTGCGTAATAGTTACGTATTTGTGTTAGCTGGGAAGACCAACTAACATCTGTATCCTTACAATTCAAATCTGTTGAAATAATTAATTGTTTATTTTGTTTATTATTTTGCGTAGGCCTACGTTCTTCATATGTACATTTTCTTTACATTTGGGTATCTTTTGATGGTGAACATTTACACAGTGCATTTTACTATTCAACAATATTAAGAGTAAAAGGTACCATTTAGTACAGCTGCTCTCTCTTCATTACTCTTGTAGTCATTGGACATCAAAATGTGGTAATCGACCCTCTGAAAAGTAATTAGAGCAGTACAGTTCCCTTTGTACATAGAGAAAAGTTGGCAAAAGTTTTTAGTCAGCAAGTTTTGGTGGTCTTTGATTTTGCTCTCTAGGTAACAAAGAGACTCCTCTGCTGAGTTAGTTCTATCATCAAAATATTCAATGACTTTCAGGTCCATTAGAATCTCCCAAAATGATTAATTTTCAGGAATTTTATGACCAATCATAAGAGCAAACGTAAACGTGTCCAGTTCTCGTGTGCATTACCACCTATTGTACCTTTTGATGAAACTTGACTTGGTTAAGACCTTTGGCTTGTTAACCTTGTCTGAATCTTTGTATGGAAAGGACTTAATGCAGTGATTGAGCTCATCAAATGAAATGTTTCTTTTTGAAATTAAATCTTTTAGGCACAAAGACAATATTACAGGTTCAATGCCATCCAGTAAATCATGTAATGCATCAGGAGGGACACCAGTGACGGGAGGAAAAAAGACAAGTGCTTGCTTAGCACACATTCCCTTTTCACACCGTTGACATTTTGCAAATTCCCATCTGTCTGCACTTCTGGACAAAAAAAAACAACTGTGTTCTTCTACAGTTCTTAGTTTGAAATCACTGATCTCAACCGGACCAGACCAAACAAAATCTGCACAGTTTGTCAGAATTGAAGCTTACTTGAAAGCCTGCCATGCTATAAGCTCCTAAATTATCAGCACATACGCAAAAGACTGTCCCCTTTACGCACTGGAATCAGGTGTGTACCGGCTCAGGGCATCACTGTTGAAGATGTGTTGCTGGCAATCGGGGAACATGTTGGGTATGAAAATATTAGCATCCAGGATGAATAAAGCAGTGGTGGTTTTTGTTGAGAAGGAAGACATAGTAAATCAGATGATAAGCGACAGAATTGTGGTAATTGGAGATTTTCTTAATTAAAATGATTTTAATTTGGTAATTCAATAAGCTAACAAAGTTGTTTGTTAAGTGAAACATTGGAGAGAACAAAAGAGAATTTGCACTATTATACTGGGTGATAGTCTAGTAAATAACTAGGCTAAAAATTTCAGAGAGTCTAACATACACAAGTAAACTGAAAGCAACAACAAAGACCTAGATAAATTGAAGAACTGGGCTTTTGGGCCATTATCTTTTCTTTCTTTTTCTCTTTTTTGTACATTTGTTCACAGTTGCCAGCATCTGTTCTGGAGGACATTTTTATTGATCTGGTTCTCCAGGAGGGTGATGAGGCAATTTTGAAGCTGGCCCCTTTGTGCACTCGCTTCAGAGACCTTGTGACACGGGAAGGCTTCAGGAGACGAGCCCATTTTCTTTGGCTTGATAGTGTTTATGTGTACAGGTGTCACAAATTGGACTGTTTTCTCACCGTACTACAAGGCGGAGTACTACAAAATGTACAAACTGGAAACGTGTAGGCAATGTGGAGACGTGTACAAACACTGCACTCCAGGTATGCATTGTTAGTTGTTGCCATGGAGTGTTTTACTTTCAATGATGAATTAATACATTGAAATATTTGCTTTCTACACTCTAAAAAACGATTCGTTGGCTGAACAACCATTACTAATAAAAGTAATTCGATTAAACACATAAAAATAAGTATTCATAACTCTTCAACCTCTACTTAACATATATAGTGTGTGTAACACAAAAATATAAGTTACCTGATTAACTTAAATGTATGCATAAATAAAATGGAAAAACATAAGTCATGTCAACTACTATAATAATTGCTTCAAAATTAAGTAAATCTAACATAACATTTTAAGTAACTATATGAGCCACGTGATGCCAATTTCCCGTGATACCAGTTCCAGAAAAAATTGGAGCCATTTTGTGAAAGACACGTGAAGGCGCTGAAAAGAGGTAAGCCTAACTTTTTTAACTCGATTTTTTAATGTATTTTTGGTCAAGAAATTAACCTTTAAACTGAATTTCAGAATTGCTATGTATTTTACATCAACAATTATAGTTGTGTTACTAACGAACACTATGAAATGTTTAGTCTACATGTTAATGAAATGCACGCGATATTTGAATTATTAAGTGAGTGTGCTTCCATGGAATGTATCAAGTGTCAAGTGTTTATAGTCAGAGTATTTATTGTGTTTTTCAAAATATATGACCATGCATCGCGTTGCCACTTATATGCGTTAAGAGATAAGAACAATTCGGACGGCGCTCTCCCCCACGGATAAATTTGTAGGTCTAGTACTTTATTAACGAGTTGTCACGTAGCTTATACTAAGTAGGTCTAAATGTAATTGTCATTTATTATATGCAGGCTATGAGTTTTCGGATAAAAAATGTACTTTGTAGGCTACTTATCTCTCCATACATGGATCGCGGGAAAGGGGGGAGGCCAGGCCTCGGGCGCCGGTTAGCCTACTCTACGGTAACATACAAATATTAAATTCGAAAACACATGCTACAGCTTCATATGTGTACGCGATTTATCATTAAATAATGGCGATCTTGATTCAAACTAAATATTATTCCTAAATGACAGCAACCACCCTGTCTATTAAACCTTCAAAATGATCAAAATAAGTAAGTAGGCTACCCATTTATACAAAAAAAAAAAAGTTTAGCTTCAAGTTAAGATTGTATCGTTTTTTGGTTATTTCAGTAGTGACTGTTAAAAGAGATTTGTTCAAAACCACTGTACAAAAGTCTTCATTAATTAACTTCTTATTTGTTTAAATTAATAGGCCTAGATATTATTTAATAGACTCAGTTTTATATTTATTGCCATTTAATAATGGACTAATTTGTAACAGATATATATATATATATATATATTAAGATGCAATTTAAAAGTTTTTGGGTCAATTAGACCTTTTTTTTAGAAAGAAATAAAATAAATTAATATTTTTATTCAGCAAGTATTAATTAAATTTATAAAACGTGACAGTATAGACATTAATGTTGCAAAATCTTTCTATTTCAGATAAATGCTGTTCTTTTTAACTTTCTATTAGTCATATCCTGAACAAAAATAATAAAAATAATATATAAAATAAAATCATTTTACAGTGATTTCTGAAGGGTCATGTGACACTGAAGACTGGAGTAATAATGCTGAAAATATAGCTTTGGCAACACAGAAATAAATTGCATTTTAAAATATATTCAAATAGAAACGTTTTTTATTGTAAAATATTTCACAATATTACAGTATTTGCTGTATTTTGGTTCAAGTAAATGAAGGCTTGGTGAGTAGAAGAGACTTCTTTTAAAAGTATAAAAAATATCTTGCCATCCAAAAACTAAAATAAAAAAAAATAATCTTTTGATAATTAATCTAATTCCTTATTTTTTTTTTTTTTCTTTAAAGATAAACTTCAACCTTTAAGGGAACCAATTTTCTTTGTGAATGAATAATGTATAGTATATAAATAAATGCTCTTCCTTAATATTCAGTTTGCATAAGTCAGGACACTTCCATGTTAAATTACCATGATATGAACCAGATCATTAGCTCATTTGATGAGAGTCCCATGAACTGAACTAACTGTGTCAGATAAGGGAGACATACAAAATGCGCAGAGCGGTGGATCTCGGGGTCAGGATTGAAAAATCACTGCTTTGAAGTGTTTGATTTAATATTTTGTGTTGTTTGTTATATCTCATTTTGATAATGTGAGGCAATATTGAAAGTGGGAGAAGGTGCAAGTTTTGACTTCCAAAAGTAATAAAAACTGTAACTCTAGCATTATCAGTAATTTTATGCTGCTAATATTGTTGTTTTTTTCCCGCTATTCTTTAATCCCAGCAGCTGTGCAAAAGGTTATGGTGCAAGAACTTGGATCTGAATAATTTGAGGTAAGAATTCACAAATTATATATATATATTATATAACAGTTGTCTAATTATTGTTTTTGACAAATTAGCTTTGCCAAAAAAAAGTATCATATATCATTTAGTTCATATGGTTCTCCTCAATTTTAGATATAATAATTTTAATTTCATTCATTTTTTGTCCTTTTCTAGTGCACAATGAAATGGATATGCAAATTTTGTAGTGCAGTCATTTCTACAAAGGCAGACTTACTTAAACATTACAGATTACAACATGACTGTCTTGGACGGCACAAATCATTGCCATGTATTTTTCCGGATTGTCCCTGTTCATTTAAAACATTGAACTCAATTCGTTCACACTTGAAAAGGCACCATGCCCCTTGTGATGTACAAACACCGGCAGATAACTTTTCCTTCTTGTGTCAACATTGTGCCTCTATTACATTTTCTACAGAG